TAAGAAGTGAACGCGTCGAACACAGAGAGGACGTGAACGCTTCGAGCTCTCATTAAACAGAAGTGAACGCCCGCCATCTCAAAGAAGAAAGAAATGAACGCCCTAATCTGACAACCAACAGATAAAAATAAACGCCTTGACCTGACAAACACAATAAATGAACGCCTGCCACCTTCAGAACGCCAGAGGAGAACAAACATTATATAATATTTTTGTTGTGGAGATAAAATTTATCTTGATTACTACCATGGTATTTAAGGCACGTAAATAATGTTTATATGTATTGTATATTAGGAAGCTCAAGATTACGAGCTCTGGCCTGCCCTGCCGAGTGGTTTATGGTGAGCTAGTTCTCTCTCTTTCTCACTCTCTCTCTCTCTCTCTCTCTCTCTCTCTCTCTCTCTCTCTCTGGCCTATCTTGTGGAGTGCTTTATAGTGAGCTAGTTCTCTCTCTTTCTCAATTTCGTTCTCTCTATCTCTCTGATATACCTTATGAAGTGGTGATTAGGTTAGGTTAGGTTAGATAACACTAACTACCTGTTCAATTAGTTAAAAAAAATACAATTGCGTGAGATACAACAGTCGGTGAATTAGTTAAGAAAACAGTTTAGGTCAGCTGTTTACCAATACGTCAAGACAGCTGTATCGATTAGCTAAAACACCCATTGAATTATTTACGATCACCTTTTAAAATTAGTTACGATTAGTTAAGACAGTTCTGGGATTGACTGAAACAGATTCTTGAACGATAAACAAACAGCTGTTCAATTCTTTCCTATAATTAACAAAGAACTTTAAAGGTTGACTACACAGTTTGTCGTAATGATTTGACAGGTAACATATGCCCTTTAAAACAAACACGCAGTAATAATATATTTCAAAGTGAGAAATTTTGCTGACGTGTTATAAAAAAAAACCTTGAAAATAATATAACTTTACGTAGGTGTTGGACGGGAGGGAGGAGGGAGGGAGTGAAGGGAGGGAGGGAGGGAGGGAGGAATTAGGAAGGGAGGGAGGGGAGGAGGGGAGGGAGGGAGGGAGGGAGAGTAGAAGGGAGGAGGAGGAAGGGAAGGAAGGAGGGAGGGGGAATAGGGGAGGGATGGAATGAAGGAAGGAAGGGAGGGGAGGAAGGGAGGGAAGGGGGAATGGGAGAGGAAAAGAAGGAAGAAAGGAAGGAAGGAGGGAAAGAAAGAAGGAAGGAAGGAAGGAAAGCGAAGGATGTTAGCCAAGAACATTATATTGACGTTACACTTCGATCACATACGTCAAATGCCTTACAAGCGCCAATGTTTACACGCGATATTTGCCTGTTAAAATTCCATCTCTTGGAATTTTTACTCAAGAATTTGGAAATATCAGAAGATGGTGAAAATACTTAGGATATATATTTTTTAAATTATTTACTTCACGTTGGTTAAAATTTGTTACTTTATAATATGGGGATAATATAATGTGTCCAGTATAATCTAAGAAAATTTTTGGTGCCATATTGGAACTGAATTATTTATCATTCAAGTATAATAGAATATCCCGATTCGAGGCTCAGTGCTATTTTGATGCCAGAGAGGAGAGAGAGAGAGGGGGGGTGTTCCCTCACTTCAACACACAGGCAGGAGAGAACAACTTTAAAACGAGAACAGATCATCCCACAAGAACGATGGTGTGATATTAACTGACGGAGAACACTTTATAGAACACTAAAGATAACATCAATTATCAAGAACATTATACATATAAAGGAGGAAATTGATCTTTTAGCCTGTCACTTTCTACACTGGTTTTAAAACGATAACAGGTGAGCCCGACCCTAGAAACCCGGCCACGCAGTTTACTTTTTATACGACATAAATACTCATCATCACACGGCCACCACCAGTGATCAGAACAAGTGACACACACACACACACACACACACACACACACACACACACACACACACACACAGGGACAGTTGCATAATACACACACCGTTTTCACACAGGTCATGACCACGATGTACAACTGACAACGTTAAAACAAAGGTCAAATTTGAAAAGGTCACGCCCCAAGACTGACCTAAAGGCAGTGGGAGGAGCAGAGTCATATACCAACCCAGCCAATGAGCTAACGGTACAGGCAACACGGAAGGCAGCCAGAGGTCAAACCCAGAGGTCAGGTTATTAGACTAAATTTCAAACCAATTGACCTATACATGGTATTACCTGTAAATCAATATGTTATATACCTGAACTGCTATACCTATATAAGCAGAATTTTCCAAGAGGCCGGGTTCTCCAAGAGGCCGGGTTCTCCAAGAGGCCGGATTCTCCAAGAGGCCGGATTCTCCAAGAGGCCGGATTCGCTAATATTCATCTAAAATCACAATAATACTTTTCTTCTTTTTATATTAGCACTTTCCTGTCACTTTCCTGTCACTTTCATGTCACTTTCCTGTCACTTTCATGTCACTTTCTATCACCTGTCTTGCACCACTCCATTGTACTTTCTTCTCAGTCTCTTAACACTTTCACTTTCTTCTCACTTTCTATACTTATCTTGCATCACTCTCCTCATTTCCACACCTTCTTTTGAGGTTTCACTTTCTCCCTTGATCCACCAACACACAAAAGAGGAAGAGAAACAATGTAAATAAATAAAAGCTAATCTCATTTAGTTTCCCCCTCTTCAATAGAAAACGAATACAAAACAAAAGAACGACGGCGTCTCCTCAAAACACAAAAGTATAAAAACTCCAGAATCAGAACAACAATAAGAGGATCGGAAAAAAAGGGGTTTAATATCATTTGTCTTTTGAATAATGTTTATATTTTGTTTTCTTCTTCGCGTGAGGTAAAGAATCAGATTGCCATTTAAATTAAGGTAGGTATTTAATGAGCACGAAGCCTCTAGGTAAAATATGAGCCTCTTCCTAACCTAACCTAACCTAACCTAACCTAACGCAGCTTGGATGGCTCTAAGACTAACACACATTCACTTGTAATCTGAGGAGCAGTTAATTATCTTACCCGGAAATAAAGATCATTAAAACCCTATTTTTGTTAACGTGATCAAACCGGAGATCACTATTTGGGCTGTGTTATTGTTCACTCAGCCAATGATATTGTTTGTTGGTCAAATGGTCTATTTTAAGTGGCTATTCAGACGATAGCTATATATACCCTCCCGATAAAAAGAAAACGTAGTCCCTTTTATAACTTAATACATTTATAGCCAATGAAATCCTTTGATGCCAAGAAGATGCATACTGATTGGCTGCTCAATTCTTAGCTAACGTCTCGGAGGTTCTCTAGTGTGTACTTTTTCTCAATATGTTAAGGACGTTTTCATATATTATAGACAAATGTTTATAAGACTCCACTTGGCGTAACTTTAAGACACAGGGAACTGAAGAAGTTTTGTAGCTATAAGACTCTTAAGAACAGACCCTGTCAAAGAGAGTCTTATATCTATGGTAAAATAGCATTACTTATTCTTTTGTTCTTGTGTTCACCGAGTTTTGAGAGTGAACGAAACTTAGCGGAAACTTAGCGGAAACTTAGCGGAAACTTAGCGGATGTAATAACTATTGTAGTGTTTTTCGCTTTGTTTTTGTTTCTCGTTCTTGTAATCTATCTATCTACCTATCTACCTACTTATCTACGTACATATCTACCTATCTACCTACTTATCTACGTACATATCTACCTATCTACCTGCTTATCTACGTACATATCTACCTATCTACCTACTTATCTACGTACATATCTACCTATCTACCTACTTATCTACGTACATATCTACCTATCTACCTGCTTATCTACGTACATATCTACCTATCTACCTACTTATCTACGTCCATATCTACCTATCTACCTACTTATCTACGTACATATCTACCTATCTACCTACTTATCTACGTACATATCTACCTATCTACCTGCTTATCTACGTACATATCTACCTATCTACCTACTTATCTACGTACATATCTACCTATTTACCTGCTTATTTTACCCCAGCACGTCAATGGCTGCTCAGGTATTCATATATGCAACAGTCATTCGTTTATATAATTTCTCGTATATAATAATTATTCTGCAGACGTTAAAATGTATTAGTAAATTATATATATCGTATGTATAATTTTGACTCGTAATATATAATCAACTTTAATTGCTTTTGAGAATTATTTTATGTTTTTTGGAGTATTTTCTGTAATATTTCATGACTGATTATAGTGTATTAATTATTATAGTTATACGCTTAGATTATTAGCTTCTGATTAATGCCCTATAATCGTGTTTATATAAGTGTATAGTAATTATTGCATTGAAATTATCATATTGTAATTATTGTCTCAGAATTATATTTAGGATTATAATTGCAGAATAATTTTTGCTTTGTAATTATTAATCTCTAATTATTGTTGTATAAATATTTTACGTTGATTACTGAGCAGTAATTATACTAAAGTAACCATCATCCAAATAATACTTTGTTTCTCGCTAAATAATACTTTTTTCCTCATTACTAATACTTTCTTCCTCACAGGTAGAAAGACAAACAAAGAAACTTTTAATTTTGCTAATATTATTTAATGTATTTACTAAATCTTTGTGTGTTTGTTCTCATAAGGTGATTAGAGGTAATTAGCTCTTCCTAAAGGTTTAATGTGCAAGTCTTATGTGTAATTGTCAAGGTAATTTTCTATTTTACTTTCCAAGGTGATACATACATACATACATACATACATACATACATACATACATACATCACAACAAAACTTTCTTCTCCCTCCTCCTCCTCCTCCTCCTCCTCCCCCTTCGTCATGCAGTGAGACAAGTCCTCAGATGAAGTCACAGGAATGAAGCAAGAGACAGAGAGAGAGAGAGAGAGAGGAGGAGGGGAGGAGGGGGGGAAGGGAAAAAGTCTTGTGTGTCAGTACACATGCGTAGAAACACCCCGCAGACATAAATACTCGAGTCTTCGCCTGTTGATTCAGTTACCCTTTAGACGCCGAGCGAGTTGGGTCTGTCCCTCGTATCCTCCCCCAGCACTTCGCCGCGCTGTGATTGTGATCTACGAAATTAATCCTTAATCCTCACTAATCATCTATGGAAATAAAAACCCTCTTTATTAATAGTAATGTTAAGGATTTTATAACAATATGTGATGGATTAGGATAAGATTTGAGGTCTTTTTTTTATGATAGTTGGAGAGATTATTTTTAATTATTTTTTTTTTTGGTAATTTTTTTGGTTTAGAAAAGAAAATATTGGTTGACCAAGATGTTAGGACGGACATACCTCATCGTGTTGCTGGTTGAAGCTTCTCTACTGATCAACGAGACTTACAGTGCAGGTAGGTGAATAGTGGTAGTTGTGGTAGTTACGACTAGTAGCAATCAACAAGGAAATAAATAATAGCGATGGTGGTAATGGTGATAATAATACGAGTAACGATGGTTGTAGTTGTGGTAGTAATAATGATAAAATTTACTGGAGTTGAGAGGAAATAAATTACGATTGTGGTAGTGGTGGTGGGGATGGTGGCAGCGGCAATAACATCAATGATAGTTTTAGCGATAGGGGTGACAGTGGTAAGGGTGGTAGTTGTGGTAGCGGTAATGATAGGGAGATATTATTTTTGGTTGGATTGTGGTAGCAGTAGTTGTATTTGCGATAGTGGTAGTGGTGGTCGTATTAGCGATAGTGGTAGTGGTGGTAGTGGTGGTTGTAACATTAAGAGTGGTAGTGGTGGTCGTAATAGTGGTAATGGTGGTCGTAACAGTAATGGTGGTAGCGGTGGTCGTAACAGTAATGGTGGTAGTGGTGGTCGTAACAGTAATGGTGGTAGTGGTGGTCGTAACAGTAATGGTGGTAGTGGTGGTCGTAACAGTAATGGTGGTAGTGGTGGTCGTAACAGTAATGGTGGTAGTGGTGGTCGTAACAGTAATGGTGGTAGTGGTGGTCGTAACAGTAATGGTGGTAGTGGTGGTCGTAACAGTAATGGTGGTAGTGGTGGTCGTAACAGTAATGGTGGTAGTGGTGGTCGTAACAGTAATGGTGGTAGTGGTGGTCGTAACAGTAATGGTGGTAGTGGTGGTCGTAACAGTAATGGTGGTAGTGGTGGTCGTAACAGTAATGGTGGTAGTGGTGGTCGTAACAGTAATGGTGGTAGTGGTGGTCGTAACAGTAATGGTGGTAGTGGTGGTCGTAACAGTAATGGTGGTAGTGGTGGTCGTAACAGTAATGGTGGTAGTGGTGGTCGTAACAGTAATGGTGGTAGTGGTGGTCGTAACAGAAATGGTGGTAGTGGTGATCGTAATAATGGTAGCTGTAGTGGTAGCCGTAATAGCGATAATGGTAGCCGTAATAGCGATAATGGTAGTCGTAATAGCGATAGTGGTAGCCGTAAAAGCGATAGTGGTAGCCGCAAAAGCGATAGTGGTAGTCGTAATAGCGATAGTGGTAGCCGTAAAAGCGATAGTGGTAGTCGTAATAGCGATATTGGTAGCCGCAAAAGCGATAGAGGTAGCCGTAATAGCGATAGTGGTAGCTATAATAGTGATAGTGGTAGTCGTAATAGCGATAGTGGTAGCCAAAATGGCGATAGTGGTAGTCGTAATAGCGATAGATAGTAGCCATAATAGTGGTAGTCGTAATAGTGATAGCCGATAGTTGTAGTGCCTCGGAGTTGTGCCAGGTGTGTCAGGTGTGTCAGGTGTGTCAGGTGTCAGTAGAGTTGTCACGACAGGAAGATGGTGCCGGTGTCATCAAGTGTCATATGGCGCTATCTGATGGTGATTTATTATGCATGACACAGGTGGTAGTGTTTAACTGTTATGCGGTCACCATCTGTCATCTCTCGTGTGTGTTATGGAAGGCAGTCTCTCTCTCTCTCTCTCTCTAGATGTCAACTTTAAGTATAAGATTTATTTATAATTTAATCTTCAATGTAATTCTCACAGTACCTGAAACGAGAGAGAGAGAGAGAGAGAGAGAGAGAGAGAGATACGTTACAAAAAGTATAAGTAATATTTTCTAAGTTGCTTGAAGTGCGTTATCGTAAGAGAGCTTTTCATTGTAATTATAAATAATGATTTTGTCGTAATTATCCTCAAATAAAAAACAATAAGAACAATTTAACCTAAGTATAAGTAATATTTATAAGTATCTCTTAATTACGTTATATTTTAAGTAGTTTTAAATATAAGTGGAAAGTAATGTTTCTTATAAGTGTCCTCTATAGTAAGTGAAAATCAATGTATAAGTACAGGTAATATAAGTTTCTTAATTAGTGCACTTTTTCATTATAAGTAACAGTCATACATTAAACAAAATCAAGTGAGGTGTTAAAAGAGCAATTTATTTATGTTTTATATCTCACAATTATTTCACTCATTAAATTTCATAAGTTAGCTCCGGGTCGTGTTGGCTCTATGGTCTAACATTAGCTGGTTTTTATTTTGTTTTAATTTGGAGGCATTATTGTTTTAGTTTTGGGGGGGTTAAATTATATAAAAATAGGAACATTTACATTTGATCATATTTAGTGATGTTACGTAATTAAGTTTGGTTTGGTTTATTTATTTATTTATTTATTTAGTTATTTTTTTTTACGAGGAAGAGCTCACCAAGGCACATGTGATCTACCCATAACCAGGCCTAGGGGCGAGAACATAAGAGTGAAAATAAGTTTAAACAAAAAATATATAGAAAATGACAATATTAATCTACACCACGAAGATGCCGGAAAACCAACTTTTTGAAGTGAGGCAGATTGTATGAGTATGGAAACACAGAAGGCAGAGCATTCCCCAGTTTGGCTGTGTGAGGAAAGAAGGAGGTACTATAACGGGTTATTCTAGTGTGACCGACATCCACAGAGAAACGGTGGGCACCACGGGCAAGACGTGTGTTACGAGCCCACGGCCTTGACGGCGGTACACAGGATGCCAATCAACCGAACATTGCCCGTTAAAGTACCTGTAAAAGAGAGAGAGTGAAGCAACATTACGGCGGAGAGAAAGGGAAGAGAGATTATCAACTAAAGGAGGAGAGTCAATAAGACGAAATGCCTTTGATTCCACCCTATCTAACAGTTGGACAGAAGAAGAGCCACCCCAGATATGAGAGCAGTACTCCAAGTTAGGACGAATGAATCCCTCATATACTTGAAGCAACTACTCAGGAGTGAAGTAGCTACGGCATCTGTATAGCATTCCCAGCTTTCGGGAGGAAGCTTTAGCAGTGTTGTGGATGTGTGGCTTCCATGACATATTAGAGGAAATGGTGAGGCCTAGCATATTTATTTTAGAATTTGGCAGAATGATTGCGTCCTGAAATGTGATTGGTGGGAGATCACCTAAATTGGAAAGTGTAATTGGTAAATACTGTATTTATTAGGTTTGGTTAGGTTCAATTTGGTTAGGTTAAGTTTGGTTTGGTTAGATTAGTTACGTTAGATTAGGTTAGATGAAATTAGGGTTTGGTTACACAAGGGCGTAGGCTGTAGGGTGAATATTGGGTGTGTGTATAGGGTGTAGGGTGTAGGCTGTGGGGTGAATATTGGGTGTGTGTATAGGGTGTAGGGCGTAGGCTGTGGGGTGAATATTGGGTGTGTGTATAGGGTGTAGGGTGTAGGCTGTAGGGTGAATATTGGGTGTGTGTATAGGGTGTAGGGTGTAGGCTGTGGGGTGAATATTGGGTGTGTGTATAGGGGTGTAGGGTGTGAGGCTGTGGGTGTGAATATTGGGGGTGTAGGGTGTAGGCTGTGGGGTGAATATTGGGTGTGTGTATAGGGTGTAGGGTGTAGGCTGTGGGGTGAATATTGGGTGTGTGTATAGGGTGTAGGGTGTAGGCTGTAGGGTGAATATTGGGTGTGTGTATAGGGTGTAGGGTGTAGGCTGTAGGGTGAATATTGGGTGTGTGTATAGGGTGTAGGGTAGTACTGGGAGGCCGTGGGATGGCAGCAAGGTAAGTCTTAACCCAGGCAATGGTTCGAGTGACAGACGAGTGAGAGCGTAAAACATAATTTAATATCTCCTGTGTCTTAATTAAAAATAAATTAACTCTCCCTATTTAATTCCTCTTGAACTATATAATTATAATTAACTGATGAACTAGTGACTATATTACTCAAGAGGACTTAACAACGGGTTATTACCGATAGTTTCTCTTAATAGTTCATGATAACATTTCATTCGCTCAGTTAAGTTAAGGAGGGTATTTAATTAATCTTAACTACACACCCCGTTAGGTTAGGTTAGGTGGATGGAGAGGGGGGAGAGGGGAGGTGGATGGAGAGGGGGGAGGAAAGGGGGAGGTGGATGGAGAGGGGAGGAGAGGGGAGGGGGATGGAGAGGGGGAGGAGAGGAGGGAGAGGTACACATGTTTTGTCTCACCTGTGTGTGATGTATGACACCTGACCCACTTGGCGGACAACCTGGACTCACCTGTAAATAACAAATTACTCTAAACAAACGGAGGTAAATACAGGTCATAGTATCATGTTCCTGGTTCCCATAATAATAATAATAATAATAATAATAATAATAATAATAATAATAATAATAATAATAATAATAATAAATATAACAATATTAATAACAATAATAACAATAATAATAACAATAATAACAATCACTTTAACTCACACTGTCTAGGTTAAACACATAATTTCACCTGTACTCACCTGTTCAATAAAGCCAACTGGAAGCTGATCAACACTCTAATCCTTCACACTCTCTATATGCCTCTCCGTCACCTCAAATTGTGTGTTAAAAACTGTTATTTTACTTTCTATAACCTTTTGTTTATTTCATTACTTAATATTCAGTATGTCTTGTTTATTTATATCGACTTTTATTATATCGTACTTATAATCTGTATTGTAACGCACTTAGGACTACAGTAACGCACTTAAGAACGCTACAGTAACACACTTATAAGAACTAGAGTAACACACTTATAAGAACTAGAGTAACACACTTATAAAGACTACAGTAACACACTTATAAAGACTACAGTAACACACTTATAAAGACTACAGTAACACACTTATAAACGCTACAGCAAGACACTTACAATATAAGAACTACAAGTATTAGAATAAAATCTACAAAATATTAAGTAGTGGGATTAAATTTTTTATTATTAACAAAAGACAAAATCAACAAGCTCCTATTTCGTTATAGTGAATCACCTATTAATAACGGACTATAGGCAGAGAGGAAAGTCCGCTATGTCGAGGATCTGTTAAATCTGACATTCCCATTTAACGGATTACATGGCGAGAAATTTCCGATATATGGAGGTTAAACTGTATCTAAAGTCACCAAACTCACCGATATAAGAATT